TGGAGGAAGAGTTATTTGGTCCCTATTTTTAAGAATAAAGGGGATGCACAAGAGTGTGTAAAATATAGAGGTATTAAGTTGATATGCCATACTTTAAAATTATGGGAGAGGTTAATTGAACATAGACTAAGACGTAATACAAAGATTTCTTATAATCAAATTGGATTTATGTCGGGCAGGTCTACTATGGAAGCTATACAATCAGAGATAAGGAGGATCTACATTTGATTTTTATTGATTTAGAAAAAGCATATCCTTTGGAGAGTTCTTGAGAAGAAAGGTGTTGATATGACTTATATTCAAGTCATTAAAGATATGTAAACTAGATTTGTTACTTGTGTTCGAACAGAAGGAGGATTGACTAAATATTTTCCTATTTCTGTTGGATTACAACAAGGATCGGCTTTAAGCCCATTATTTTTTTCTTTAGTTATGAATGGTTTTACTGGACATTTACAGGAGCATGTACCTTGGTGTATGCTTTTTGTTAATGATATCCTTCTCGTGGATAAGATGAGAGAAAAAGCCCAAAAAAATTTGAATTATGGAGGTCCACATTGGAGTCTAAAGGCTTTCGTTTGAGTAGAAATAAAATTGAATACATGAAATGTAATTTTAGTAGTAGTAGCCCTAGTGACAGAAGTGTAACTTTGGGTAATCAAATTATTAAAAGGTGTGAACGATTTAGATATCTCGGGTCTATTGTTCAAAGCGATGTTGATATAGATGGGGATGTTATTAGTAGAATTCAAGTTGGTTGATTGAAGTGGAGGAATGCTTCGTGCCTTTTGTGTGATAGAAAATTATCGCTTGGACTGAAAGGAAAATTTTATAAGATAGTGGTGAGACCTACAATGTTCTATGGTGCGGAATGTTGGCCTTTAAAAGAGAAGTATAATACTAAGTTAAGTGTTGTCGAGATGAGAATGATTAGGTGGATGAGTGGATTTACAATTAGAGATAAAATGCAAAATGAATATATCTGTGTTATGGTGTAGCTCCAGTGATGAACAAAATTAGAGAGAGTCGTCTTAGACGATTTGGTCAGCTTAAACATCGGCACCTGATGATCCAGATGATCCAATTAGGAGCGATCCAATTAGGAGCGTAGATGTTTTAGATTCAACTTATATTAAGAAAGGCAGAGGTAGACCTAGTAAAACTTGGACTTATTGTATAAAGAATGATATTTAATTATTATAATTAAATGAAAATAAGACACTAAATAAGAGCAATGGAGAAAAAGGATTCATGTAGCCTGGGATTAAGGCTTTTTTGTTGTTTTTTTCACCATCGGGGAAAACACTTTTAACAACATCTTGCGTCAATCAAGCAAAAATTAAGAAAAAGAACTGTGGAAAAGTTTATGCGCGTCAGTGAAAATTTTTTTATTGGAAATGACTATGACTTCAAATATAATGGTTTAACTTATAAAAAATCGAACTAGTACGAGATTGATAAGATGTTCTCCGGCGTACGTGCAAAATGACTAATGGGCCAAAGTTCTGAAAGAAAACCTTGCGGGCTAGGTTTCTGTAGGAGCTCTTGATCTCCTTGATAGTAGCATCCCTGTTGAGATTGAGAGCTTCGTAGAAATCCTTCGTCTTGGCCAAGAAAACGCCACGCTTGCGCCGGTGGCACCTCCAACCATGGCGAAGCAGCGGTAAACTAGGGTTTTTACAGAGGTAGAACTCTCCTGAGAGGAAATTAGAGGAAATCGAAGGCCACTTGGCTCTTTGCCCCGCCGGAGAAGAAACAAACAGCGAAGTACATTGCAAAGATGAATAATTTGAAGGGTATAAGAAATGGCCTGACAAAGTTCCAATGGTGAGGCCGCCGCTGCCCAAGCAGAGTGCCGTCATAAGCCGTTTGAGAGGCTCTCGTTTCGGCTCCCAGTGTGGCGATCAGGCGATTAGGGTTGTCTTGCCCGGGAAGGTGGCTTTAGCCCAATTAGAGAGAAATTGGCAGCAGCCGTTCGGTTGCAGCTTATAGGTTGTTTGGCTGGAAGTAGGACTCAGTAAATTCGGTAAGTTCAGATTTATTAAATTTAGATATCATTAAATTTAAAATAGTAATTGATTCAATTAAAATTAAATTAAATTTATTAGAGACATTTGACATAAATATATTTGAAATATTATATTTCTGTTTTAAATCCATTAAATCTAACTAATATGTGGATTTAGTAAATCTAAATTTAATAAACTGAACATACAAATACTAGATTTAACTTAAGGTTAGATTTATCTAACTTATTTATGTTCTTTGGCTTGATTTAAGTTAAGTTAAATTTAACCTACTTTAAATTAAATATAACTTAAATCATGTTTAAAGTATCATATCGAACACCCCCTTGGTGAGGAAAAAATAATTACGTACGGACGCTTGACGCAGACGTGTATGACGATGTGGCGCCCGACGGTTGACCGTTCGGACGTGCGGTGTCCGGACTTAAAATTTTCTCCTTTGTGAGAGTTGTTTGTAACTCGTGGAAATAAATTTCCTACTATTATTAACATTAATTCAAATAATTTATATGTCATATTCTTTTTTTTTTTTTTTTGCAGTTTGAAGTCTACATTTTAATTGTTCATCGCGTTAAATTTTATGGATTTTTTACATACATAGCACCCAAAACTTTCATATTAACCTATCTCACACCAAAATTTTCATAATTACAAACATCATATAAAAGTAGCACACATCATCACCTTTTGTATTATAAAAGTAGCACCCAACAAACAAATATTAGACTTAACTTAATGGTGGATTTATGCTATGATAATCCCTTCTCAACAATAATGCATGTTCACACATAAACCTTTAACCCGCAACCATCACGATAAGGAGCTTGGAGCAAATTGCAAGTGGATGATGGACAATTTCAGACGACGGTCGAGATTCAACAATGAAGTAGCTCTACTTTAACAAAACTTTCCTTAGCCTTAATGATAAAGAATCCATAGGGCTTTGAGGTTGCCCGCCTAGTGCGACATAAATTCTCATTCTATATCTAGGCTTTTGCAAGATTATGCTCTGTAGTATAAGTTCTAACATTTTTTTTAGGATTTCGAGGCAGTTTGTTCAGTGTGACATGAACCGTTCTATCTTCATAAGCTATTTGCATGATCAAATATTGTGCAAGTGCAAGCCATAAATTTTAAATAATTGACAGGAGTATTATCAAATAATTTTAATACCAAAATGTAAAGTCAAATAATAGTATAGTTTGAGAAGTCACCGAGGCTTCTCCTCAGAATATGTGATATCTTTTACCTTTCGCTCCTTTGGCCTCTAAAATTCCTATTTTAGTCATTCTCGCTTGAATTTCCTATAAACAATCGTGAAAACTCAACTTTGAAATCTTGAAGATGAAACCTCTAATCTTAATCAAGAGTCTTCTTAGATGACTTCGGTCATTTAAGATGTAATTAACTAAAGAAACTTAACACTATAGGGAATTACGAACCCAAGTAAAATATATTAGATAGAAGAATTGTTTGTCACGCAAAAAAAAATTCACAGGCCAAATGAATGTCATGAATTTTTTTAGTTTACAAAATTGAGCTCGCCGTCAAGTAATATGCTTATCTCTCGGGATGAGCCTATTACTTGTGGTGTCATGCTCAATTATTGAAACTATTAAACAAATGAGTTCTATCTGGATTTATTTTTTAGAATTAAAATATATATATATATAATTATTTTCAAATCAACCAACAAATTCTAAATGGCGACCGACACGCAGTCACGCTCAAAGTCTTTCCCTCGAGCCACGCGAGCCATCTTTGGCTTTCTTCCTCAGATCAATAGTGAATTGACACATTGCTTCGCAGCCAGTGATTCTTGGGAGCTCCACTTGTCAAGGGAATCACGACTATCAATCCCTGCCTTAATCAATGGTCATTAGAGTTGATCCGTTGGCAGCAATGGCTCCTGCCACCGCCTTTGTCGCTCCTAACCTACTATTAATAAACCTCCACCTCTCCCTTCAGAAAACATTCAATTGAGCACTTACTCCCTCAGCCTCTTCCCTATTATGGCAATCCCTGGGATCCTCCTCTCAGGTAAGTCTCTTGCCTCCTCCTCCTCCTATAGTATTTTGCTTTGATTTTTTTTTGAGCTAAGTTCAAGTTCATTCAATTAGATAGTTTTTTACTAGACTTTGGTTTGGGTCTGACTTATGTTGACCCAAACCCAACCTAATCATACCTAACCTAATCCAAACCTAGCCTAATCTAAGTCTAAACCCAATCCTAAACTTGAATCAGACCTAACCTGACATAACCTAAAGCTGAACTCTGATTCTACCAATGTCCAACCTAGGTTAAACCGATCAAACTAGGTTCAACCCTGGTCAAGCTAGGTCCAACTCAGGTCCAACACATGTTTAACCCAGCGTCACCTAGGTCCAACCCAATTCAGCCCATGTCAAACTCAGGTCCAACTTATGTCCAACTAAGCTTAACTCAGGTCAAACCCGAGTCTAACCCAAGTTAACTTAGGCCTGACACAGGTCAAACTCAGGTCAACCTAGGTCTAACTCAGGTTCAATTCAAATCAACCCAGGTCCAATCCAAATTCAACCTAGTTTTAACTCAGGTCAAACTAGTTCCAACATAAGTCAAATCAGGTCCAACTCAAGTCCCAACTAAGTCTAACCCAAGTATAAACTCTAAATTAAGTATAACCAAATCTATCACACAACTTAAGTAAACCCAAGTCCAAACCAGGTCCTGCCCAGTCTAACCTCGATATAACCTATATCAACTCTATTTCAACCCAGGTTAATTTAATTCATACTCAGGTTCATCCCAAGTCCAACCCAAGTTCAATTGAGGTCCAAACTAGGTCAACGTAGGTTTAAACTAGGTCAACCCAAGCCAACCCAGGTACAACTCAGGTCCAGGCCAGTTAAACCAGGCTAAGCCTATGTCAAACCCAACTTAAACCGAGTCCACACCAATATAAATCCAGGTCCCAAGTCCAATCCTAGTCCAACCTAGGTCCAATCCGGGTCAACCCTGGTCTATCCCAGGTCAAACTCAAACAGAACCTAGGTGATCCCAAATCGTACTTAAGCTCAATTTGAGCTAACCTTATTTGAACACTAACAACCTTATATCACCCCTTCTTAATGTTGTCATCAATTTTTTATGTCACAAATGTAGGATGTTAGCTCGAGCGTTATGGAACCTTACTTGATGTATTTGTTGACTCTTATAGCGCAAGACATCCATTTGAGACCTTTCAACGTATGTTGAGAGGCATGTAGTCAGGGTCATCTTGCTAAGCTTTGACTTTCCCTTAGGTGAAGGTCGGTCGACATATCGCATGTCAGACAATTCTGATCGGGTCTAAAAATATTATGGGCTACATTGTACGCGAAATTAACCTGAATTGGCTCATCCACCAAAAAATTTTTTTGGATGACCTCGGACGACGAAACGAACAGTGTGGGCGTGTATGGAAAGTTGATTTTACTTGAGAAGGAAGTCCATTTTTCTTCAGCTTCGCGGGCAGGAAAAAATGTGTGAATTATCATTTTAGCTTGATCTTAAAAAAAAGTTGTTTGAACCACTCCGGATGTTGAAACGGACCACGGGATCACGTCCAAAACGTCGATTTTACCTATTGGCAACGTTTATTTCATTAAAATGCCCTTTTGAGCTAAAAATGAGCAAAACAGAGCTTTAAATAATAATAATAATAATAATAATAAAACTACATTATTAAAACCTAACGCATGTCAGCCCTCTCCCTCGAAACAATTTAGCGTACTCTAGCTCTAATTTGTGATGCTGTCAATCTCCCCTCTTTGCCCCCGACTGCTGATCCACCTTAAAATTACCTATTTATTACCTATTGATCCACCTTAAAATTACCTATTTTTAGTGCATATTTTATGATCATTTATGCATATTTTTAGTGATATTACACTTTAAAGCAATGTATTTTACATGTTTTTGGTTTCAAGTACATGTAATAAACATTTGGAGAAAAGAAGGGAAAATGAGCAAAAGCGGCGCAAAATGATATGGCGCCATAGCGTTGTCCCCTGACGCTATCATGTCATGGACGATGGTAACGGGCACTATAGTGCCCAGACTGGCGTTATAGCGCCAATAATTGCCCTTCTAAAAGATCCATTGAATTTGACCAAAATTTGAAGGGGTGTTTGAAGCAACCCTTGGTTATTTTCAGAAGTCTATTAAGATAAAATAAAATTGGACAAAATAAAGGACTTTTTGGCATCATTTGAGGTCATACTTTAGTGTTTAAGTGCATGTTTTAGTGTGTTTTGTGTTTTAAGAGTAAAAGTTTGGAGATTTCTTTACGGAGACTCCAAAATTCTCGTTAGGGAGAAAACGTAAGGTACTTTGTATTTGTGTTTAATTTTTTGTTCCTAATTCTTGGATTTCAATGCAAATTTGGTGTTCTTGTTTTATTCTCCATGAATTTTGAGTAGCTCCATTTCTTTCTTCTTTCCCTTGGGAATTAATCTTATGGGAGAAAATGATTTAAAAATTTCTATTTACTTTTAAAATTTGTGAAGAAATTTTCATCGATTCTTCGTTGACTTTACAAATTGGCCACTTGTAAGGTTCAATTCTCTTGAGAAACATAAAGACCTAAGAGGGCTATGATTTCACTCAACTAGTGAGTGTCACACTTCATTCTGGGCAGAGTGGCTGCGATCATTTAAGGTGGAGTGCAAAAAGATAGGAAGATAAGTTTTAATGGGCGTAGAATTGATGTTTCTATGATGACGGACTAGATTCTTTTTTCAAATTTAGTTTAGAGTTAGGATCGTAATGGTCCCTCATAGGTCCTACAGAGATGACACAGTAGGTAATCTGGAGGTAAGAGGTCAGTATCTATTCATCATTACTACACAAGCTGGTGAAAAACTCTAAATTAACAAATATTTGTTGCTAGCACCGGGAGGGGGTAAGGAATAGAAATGCTCCTATTTGTTACAATACATCA